ATAAACCACTTCAAGTCAAGTGCACACACAGTGGCCAGGCCAGGCCAAGTCGAAGCCGCAGCCGCAGCCAATCACACAGCTATGCCCGAACCCCTAAACCTCTGCAAAATCCATTAGAAATTTTCAGCAAAAAAAAAAGGATACACGTTGCGAGAAACAAGTTCTAAAAGTCGTCTGCTGGTTGTTTTAGAGTTGAAATAAATTCCGTGTTGTTGTAACCGCGTTGACAGTTCGAAAGTTTCTGCGGCCAAGAAGGGGTAACAAGGATTGGCTGTGGGTTTTGTCCATGATTGATGCAAGTAGAAGTCAAACTAATGTTTGCTATAAGAATTAAGGAACATTTCGCACTCACGCTTTAAGCTTCAAGACTTTAAAGTCAACTCCACAAGCTCCCTCCAGCTCTCCCTCTCAGATCTGCCCACAACTGTCATTCTAATAAGCCAAGTTCTGTCTGCCCATCCCACTGCCTTTTGCATTCACAAATCTCATTCCCTGTCCCTAGCAGAGGAGCACTCTCCTCAGCGGCAGTGCCAGCTGCTGGCGACAATATGCACGGCACTTATTGCCACTTCAGTTGGCATGCGAACCAGGCTAATAGCCAGGCTGGGCCATGCCCTCGGTATCGCATCGCAACACCTTCCAGGCACACACCACAATCACACCTGCAGCGCTTCAAACAATTTTATTTGCTCAAGCAACGAGCACCACCCACACGGCTGTGGCTGAAGCAGCATCAGCGGGAGCTTCGGTGTCGTCCTGGTGACACTTTTTGGTTTTTTATGCTGCACATAGAGCACCCCAGCTCTCTCTCTATCTCTCTCCTGCTGCTGCTACGAGATTTCTCAACCAAGAAAAAAGTGCAAGTAGAGTTAAGGTGCATAAAAAAGGGGAGTGGGAGGAGCTGGAGCAGGAGTGGGTGGACCTGGCCGTAACTTGACTGCTGTCTTGAGCTTGAGGTTCCAAAAAATCTCTGCCAAACAGTTGCAGTTGCACAGGCAGTTGCACTTGCAGCATGTTGCCAGCTGCAGTTTCATTGCCACCAACTGGTGTGTGGCTGCTGCATCATAACCCCAGGAATCTGCTTAAAATTTATGCACTTGTGCGATTTTTATATTGCACTTTCTCCCCCAACTTTGGCCCCTTTCCTTCGCCACATTTTTGCTATGCTTTTTATTTAGTTTTATATTCAGTTTTAGTTGTTCGCATAAAAATGATGAGACACCAAGATATATGAATATGTTTGCTCTACTTTCCACAAAGATTTATTTAAGCTCCAAACTCATAGATAAAAATAAGTGTGGAACAAGAGAGAGGCAAAGATTTAATGCTTTTGATTAAGATTGACAGAGATTAAATGTTGCCAAGGAAAAAAGTTTAAAAATTGCAGCAAAGTTTGTGGAGTTTCTACGGGATTTTCCAGGAATATCTTCCCTTGTGCTTCTCTTATTTTATCGCCATAATTCCACCTTAAATAACAATTCCTTAAGCACAATAAACGGGCGCAATGCGGCTCAGAGTCTGGACTCCAGTCCAGCAGGCTCTTTAATAACTTGTGGCCTCTGTGCGAGGCAATTGCTCTGGCCCACATTGCACCATAAACAATGAAATGTATTAAAATATATACACCCATATGTGCAACATATGCGACACACTGAAAAGAGCGAGGCAGAGGCAAACGTACACATGGAGAACGTTCTGTTGTTGAAAAATGTAAACAAATTTTTGCACATTTCCTGTTTGCCATTGTTGCTGCTGTTGTTGTCGTTGCACTTGCAGCTTGACACAATTTGCAGTCACACCCATTCATTTACAATGTCAACGAGGGGCGGCCAAATGAAAGAGATGAAGAGAGTGCGAGAGTGCGAGAGAGCGAGAGAGCGAGAGAGAAAAAGCCATTTCGAGAGGCCCTGCCAGGGCCACAGGCCTTGCCATGAAATTTGCATGCAATTTTAACAGAGAAAACACAGAAAGAGAGGCAGAGAAAGAGAGAAGAGTCAAGAGAAGAGAACGAAGCAGAGGTAGAGCCTTAATGAGTGAAGCGTTAACCAAGGGGGATTGAGTTTGGGTGTAGGTTTGCAGAGTGATTGGCTTTATGCCTGCTGCTGACCTTGTCAGGGGAACCTTGAACTCAGACCCAAAAGACTGGCGACAGACTAGTCCCCGGACCCAGTCCCAAATCAATTCCAGGCAACGCCCCGTCCTGCTCCGCCCCGCCCCGCCTCTTTGGTGTCCGCTGCTAACCGAGTAATTTCTGTGGCTAATTAGACCACATTTCTGGGCTGGCTGGCAGTTTTGGCTGGGGAAATGCCACACAGCAATGGCAACTATTGGGTGGAATGCCATTCCAATGGACACTCCAAATGGTAATTGCATTAAAAGCTTAAATTGCCTTTCATTTTTTTGCAGTTAGCTTAAGTTTTATTTGATTTTAATTTCCGTTTTGTGGCTCACACATTTCGATTTCCTTTTGGATTTCTTTCTCTTTCTCTTTAGTTTGGTCTTTTCTTTGGCCTTTTCGTGTTCCAGGGGGAAAAACCGCAAAGCGTGTGTGTGAAAATTGAAATGTCACCAGGTTCAGCGTAGAGTCTCGTAGTGGGTTTACTCTCTGGATACAGTACCATCCTGCCCGCCTTCGGGGGCTGCACTCTGCGTGTTTCGCTTTTCTGCTTGTCTGCCGCTGACAGTCATTGACAGTGCTGAACGGGACGACAGTCCACAGAGGGGGGGAGGGCTGGGGAAGAGCGTTTGGCTGCATGGAGAAGCAATGTTGCATGCCAGTCTGCACTTAATGCTGACTCAACCCAATATAAGTTCTTATTTGCACTGGCGACTTGGGTCAGATCCCAGTTAGAGGTTGCAATTTCTTTTGCTCAATTTTCTATACCCTACATTGGGTCATAGCTGACTTTTGTCTTAAATCGAAATTCGAGCCGTTCCCTAAGTAATTAAATTAAATATATTTACAGCTAATTATCTAGTTCATGATTTTTCTGAATTTATTTTCTTGGACTATTACTACCTTTCAGCGCACTCTGAATCATTCTGCGTGCAGGGCAGTCGTTCTGCCCGAAGCCACATATTTAGGATTTTTGTTAAGCAAGCCACTTGCATTAGTCCAGCTTCCCTCCCCCCACTAGCTTTCCCCCCTCCAGCCATCTTCCTTCGCTGACTTTCACATTTTCTGCTGCTTTTTAGCAGCAAATCCTTTTATTCCTTTTCTTTTGAGAGTTTAAAAGCGTTTTCGACAGGATTTAGTAGCATGACTTTTTGCTTTCAGCATTTCTCGACCGACAAACGTCAAAGCTGAACTAGTCGCAGTCACCCCTCCCCTCCCTCCACCACTCTACTGTGGATTTCGGTTGCTGCTCCTGGATTCCCATGGACCAGACACGTACCCCTGTGGCTGGACGTGCACGGCATTTCCAAATACAAATACTCAACATGGCCGCATTTTTTAACAGCCTCCCCTGCAGCAACCTACAGCCCACACCCCACTCCTCACCCCACACTCCTTCCATCCTGAATGTAGTTTATATAAATTGTGTTTTAGTTTCGCTTTTCTATGGCAGTATGTGTTTTTTTTTTGCAGCTCTGCTGTTTCGAAATATTTTAGATTTGTAACAATTTGTGTTCGTAGCAAACGGATTTTTTTAGCCTAAATGGAAACTATTTTGTTTGAAAAACATTTCAGCGCAAAAATATTTGCGAAAAGCAAAAGCCAAAATGAAATGTTTGTACAAGAGATCAAAGATGTGTGGATAATGGCGAAAGCTTTAAAAGAGATTTTTAACTAATAGAATTTGGAACACGAAGAACATTATTTATGCCTTAAAATAATTGTTTCTTTAATTTTAAATAAGTTAAAGTGCACATTAAATTTATTTATATTTATTTCCAAATATATTCCCGTGTTAAAATATATTTCCACATTTTTAGTCATAGGTTTCATCCTTCACCGCGATTTTCCGCTGTTTGGCTTAGCTCCCCCAAGACATGTTGACACTTGCCACACACCAGAAAGCAAAGTAAGAGCGAATGAGATGGGTAGCAGCGAGCTCCCCCTCGTCCATTTGGTATCCTTTGTTTGCGGTGAAACTTTTTCCTGCTGCCGCTTTTGTTAATTCGGTCAATATTTGCGGACGCACGAAATAAAAACGAAAACTAAGCGAAAAAAAAGTAAACTTTTGGCCAAAGTAAAACAAAAAAAAAACAAGGAAAAAAGCGAAAGCAGAAAAAGAGAATTTTCCTATTTAACCCCTTAATGGCAGTTGGGTTAAAGTCTTCCTTTGCCCCTGTGTTAAAATAAACTCATTGACGGTTTGTCACAGCCAGGAGCAACAGTTGCAGTCGCAACTTGCAGTTGTTGTGCTGTCCAGCTGGACACACGGGGCATTATTCATGGGATACGCGTATTTTCATTTAAGTAAAGACCTGCAGCCCAGCCACCCATTTGAAAATCCTACAAGCCCCACGCTACCATCTCCCACTTAGTTTTTTCTGTCACAGTCGCAGCCGCAAGTGCTTTGAGTCTTTATGTAAATAGTTGGGGGAAAAATAGAACAGGAAACAAGAACCGAAACAGTGGATACTCTTGCATGCACTCCAGTGGAAGCATTAAAAGCAATGAAAAATCACAGGAAAATGCTGCTGGTAGACTGTTAGATAGGAAATTTGCACTCAAAAATTGGTTCTTCAAAAGATTCTTCGCTATAATTTATGACATTAATCTTCCAAGAAATTTCTAATATTATTTCCTGTACGCATGATCCCTCCAAAGTCCCATTAACCTCCCCCCCCCTTAGGGTATGTGAAAATAGAAAAATTCCAGAATACCCCAAGAAAAAAATATTCCCATTTGGCATGGAATTTTTTCATTCCAGGTGCAAATTTCCAGCTTCCGCTGGGTTCATCTTCCTCGCTGTGGTCTCTCCCTCTCCCCCAGCTGGCATGTGGCAACCCCTTGAGCGTTAATTGCGATTCGAGTTGTTTATCCAACTTACCTCCTGTTTAGTTTAGCCTCACGCTCTAGTTCCAGCTTCAGTTTCTGTTCCTCCCTCGCTGCTTTTTCCACAGTAGTTTCCTGAAAGCAACAACAAGCGAAAGTTTTTTTTCGGCGTTAGTTAAATTTGTTGAAAATAATTTGCTTTTCCTGCTGTTGTTGTGGACTGGAGGATAGGGATAGGGATGGGGTTTGGGTTTGGGGATTCTGGTCTTGGAGGAGCCTTAAGTTAATTAGATGAATTTGTGTTGAAGAGTTTTTTCTGTGTGCTGTGTTTTCTCTGTGGCCTGTGGAGCTGTGGGGAAATTTTTCCTAGTTTAATTTAGTGAATGCAAAAGTTCTGTCTGAAGCAGCAGCAAGTACTACGAGAGGGATTCGCTTAAATGAGTTAGAAACTCTAAGAAAGAGAGAAAGAAAGAAGAACAGCCTCTGGCTAATAATGGAATTTCGACAGGAAATTGATTTGAGATATTCTTTGGCAATTTGTTTAGTTTTTACATATTTTTCGTTGCACAACATTTCAAACATTTTTTGGGGGGTGGAAAATTTACATAAATCAACTTTGAAGCCGGCAGTGGCTATCTTTTTCTACACTTTTTCACTGACTCTCTCCCGTACTCCCTCCAGCTCTCTTTTATTTCCCGCTCCACTGCACGTTTTGCTGGCCAATTTTCAATGTTCTGGCTACTGGTTTGCCGGCCCCGGCCACAACAAACAACACTGACCATAAATAATCAAATCTTATACACAATCTGCAAACAGATTTTGCGTTTCTAATAAATTTCACTTTGCAAGCAGCACACACAAAAAAAAAGACAGAAGAAAGACTGCTAAAAAGGCACCAAAAAGCTGGAAGGGAGTGGCCCACCAAAGGCAAACACTTTTTGTGCGTTTCGCCAGACAACAGCCAACAAAAAATATGTATAAAATGTATATTTATGCGCTGGTTGTACACAAAATATATAGAAGATGTCCTGCATATACTATATGCATATTAAGTACAGAGAGAAAAAGTTCCACTAGATGCAGACATCAGATATATTTTTGGAGAGTTTTGTATTAAGTTTTAACAATAATAATCCATAACTAATAAATATTTGAAATATAAAAGCTATCAACAATATATCCTCTCAATATCCCCATGTTTCTCTCAGTGCACAACCTTTTATACTATTTATCTTTAGTCTGCTTCGAGCTCATATTGGAAATCTTGATGGTGCAGAAAACTAGCTGGAGAGCGACAACAAATTATGGTTCACTGGGTTTTCTAAACGTTATTTTTTCTGCTGCTTCCACTCTCTCTCAATCTCACTCTCTCGCATATTGTACGGTTCGGTGTGTCCTTTGCTGTCAAGGACGAAGCGGCCTGGCGCTGGGTTCCATATTTATTTGGTGTGAAAATGTGGTTAGAAGTCAATAACATAATAAAAACGTTGCCGTTGAAGGTCGTCGCGCCTGAAGAATGGTGCCTGAGATAGACACATGCGACCGACCACAGGATCCAGCCATACACAAAAGATAGAGCTACAAACGGGAGGAGGATGGTGTGTGGGAGAGTGCTGGATAAATTTATGAAAATTGTCTGTGCCTGGAGGCCGGGTGTGGGATTTCGGGCTTTTTCGTAAATTGTTATTAAACAAAACCGAGACAGAGATTGAGGTTAAGGTAGTGAGCGCTATACCGCCCCCCTCTGGTGGTGAACAATGCGCGAACAAAACTTTCATTGCATAACAATAGGCGCACTGGCGTACAGACCGCAAGCAGCATTTAAATGTAAATACCTGCAGCCCACAGGCCGAAAAAGTTTTCAGCGTTTTCTGGCCGCCATCCCATAATGAAAGTCCAGGCATTCCACTGGTCTCCGGTCTCTGGTCTGATTCGCTTTACTCCATTCGCCATTCGCCATTCGCCTTTCGCCTTTCGCCCCTCTGGGCAAGTGGCCCGTGGTCGTTGGCACGTGAAAGAAAAAGTGCAGGTGGTGCTCTGGTCACCCATTCTCTGCCTCTCTCCTGCTCCCCCTTTATGCACAGCACAGAATAAATAAACTTCAACTTTTTGCTGGCCACAATTTCTATTTTCGTTTTTTTTTTTTGTACATTTTTAGCACTGCATTCCCTTTTGGCAGTGGAGAAAAATATCTAAAATTGCGCCAGTGGCAGTGCCAGTGCCAGTCCGAGTGCGAGAGCGTGAAACAACAATAACGAATCGCACACAGAGAAATGGGCCAAAGGAGAAAGAAAGAGAAATTGAAATAAAAGCTTGGAGAACAAAAACAAATTCGCTTTTTCTTCGTTATTCGTTATTTTATACGTATAATTTTTTTATGTTTTTATATTTGTATTATTTCCAGAAGGCAAGTGGGTGGAAAAATGTTGTTAAGCTTTAAAATGCTGGCGGTCTCAAGATGTGAGAGTAATTGAGAACAAATAAATACCAAAGGGAGGAGGGTATATAAAAGTAAGAAAAAGTGAGCGAAGATAAAGGAAAGTCGAGTCAGACGAATTATATGGCCAAAATTCAAGCGAAATGTGTGAAAACGAGGCATGAAATGAGGAAATTAATGTAAAGAGAAGAGAAAACAAACAAGAAAACAAAAAGAAAATAAATCAATATAAAATATATAAAGAAGAAATATTTAAATGGTAGAAAGGCAGACAAATGTTAAGAAATTAAAGACATATTTAAAGGAAAGAATTTACGAAGCGAAACATATCTCAATCGATGTATCTCCGAATTGTCAGCCAGCCATTGCCATTTTCTGACACTCTGATGTCTGCTGCCACTGGATGTCATTCAACGTCAGTCAGTGAATGACAAAAGTGATGAAGATATTCAGATTGTTACCCATATTCATACCATTCGTAAGCGTATTCTGATACAGCCCATAAACCTACTCGACCATTCTGAAATCTTGAAACATCTTGAGCACTTTTATTACTGACTTTAAGCGAAATTTCCCTGGCATCAGATACTCGTAGTATCTTTTAGTGGGTCGCACTGTCGTCGTCTTATTGCTTTTCTTAGTTGCTTTTCCATCAGCTTAAGTAGAGCAGCTGTTCAGAGAGAGGAGCCACAGCCACAGACACGGACACATTTGCACGTTGGCTCCCCACCGGTTTATCCACTTCTCTTGCTGCTTAACACACTCCTCCACACACTCTCTCCACACTCTTCTTTTGATGTCCCACTTTCCACTGATAAGGTTTCACAATTTGCTTGCCATTTGCTTTTACCCCCCCCCCCCCCCCCCCCCCCCCCCCCCCCCCCCCCCCCCCCACACACACACACAGATACAGCTACAAATACAAGAGATACGAGAGCATGGGCCTGCTGCTCAATTTCATTTTTACGCTCACCAATTTCTGTTTCTGTGTTTCCGTTTTTGTATTTTTTTGCAGTTCTTTTTCATTTTCTGTTTTTCCTGTACATTTGGTGGAAAACATTCGACAGTTGTTTTTTCGCCAGTTCCGCTCTTGTTGTTCTTTTTTTTATATACTTTCTGTGTGTGTTTATAGTTTGTCGCTCTGTCTCTCTGTGACTCTGTCTCTCTCTCTATATGTGATGCTTATGCCATCTCTTTTCGGATGATGATGATGAGGATGACATAAATCTTTGATATATTGCCTTGCAGCTGCTGGACCAATAAATTCTCGGCACTCTGTCCTCTGTCGCCTGTCACTCCTTTCACTCTTTTTCTAAAGCTCCAAAAATCAAATCAAATTCTTGATGTACGAACCCGAAACTCTCCGCCCCATTGTACAAAAGTCATTATGGAACAAGTGTTGGCCGCTCTCCCAGCGGACACTTGAGCATAATTAATGTCCTGCCACGCCCCACGCCCCACGCCCCCCCACCCTCCCTGCACCAAACAGGATGTGGCAACCGGAACAGATCGTTCTCTGCGACCCTCGCCATGGAGCCCCTCTACAACCACTCAAATGAGACTCGACGCAATTGTCGCTCCCAAATTAATTTGTATAATTTTACAGTCGCAATTGGATGGCAGTCGGGAGGGTAGAGGCAAGGAGGTCCCACAGCGGTGCCAAGCGACACTTATTCCCACGAGGCAGGCGCGAAACCCCCCGCGGCATTCAAATGAAGTTTCGGCGGCGCCGAAAAGTAGGCAATTATTTTTTAGGCCAAGAAATGGATAAGAGAAAAGGACATGGAACAAAATAAAAACCCAGCGCAAGATGGAGGTTAAGGCAGAAGAAAAATAACGAACCAAAAAAAAAATGTGAAGCGGAAAAACCATGGAAATGAATTTAAGGTGAAACTGTGAGCCCCAGTTATGCGGATACACTTGAGAAAAAGGAAATAAATGAAGGAAATTCCAACATTAATTCAAGGCAAGAATATTGGTATTGGAATACGTTAAGAACATGTCGGAAATATATTTCTCAGTGTGTGTCGCGAAACCGATGAGAAGGAGAAATGTGCGCTCTAGAGATATTTCTCGCAAGAACTTTCTTTCCCACCGCCCGAAACCTAATTAGTAGCCATCCCCAAAGCATCTCTCAACAAGCTTTCGCTTGGCCACTCTACAGAAAGATTAATATTTAATGGGAAATCCCATTCCATGCCACACTGCCATCGATTCTGCGCTATCAATTGCAATCAAGATGTAAATGCAACTTCGTTCTACTGGCGCACTGCTGGGGCGCTCCGCTCTCATCGATGCTGCAACACTTGATTGACTTTCACAGCACATTTATTTTGAAACCTTCAAGATGCCTTCCAAGTTGGCCTGCCGCAAAGCAAACTTTTCAACGACTTGGCTCAACTTTAAACTGCAGGCAATGGCTAAAAAAGTAATTCGTGGCTTACACAGGCGCCTAGACTGGCAGGTCGGTCACAAGTAGATGCAAGTTTTTCCCTACTGCGAAAAAGAAGTAAAGTTTCCAATGCAGAACCCAGCCCTAGAGGTGGCCTCAACTTATTTAGTGCCTGCAAAAAGGAAGCCCGCGACGACCAGCAATCTATTGTAAATGGAGTTTCCACCTGCAGAGTTTCTCCTGCCTTTATTTTCTCTCTCTTTTTACCGCATGCCAATAAAATGTAATTTCCTGTGATTTGTCTTTTGTC